TTTCAGTGTCGTCACGCAACGCTTTCTCCCCTGAGTAGCTACTCAGGGGAGAAAGCGTTGCGTGACGACACTGAAAGCGGCTGTGGGGGAGACTACAGGAAACCCAAAGCCAATTAATAGCCCCAAGTCAAGGTTGAGTTGCTGGCTGCGCGTGATAAACTATAACTAAGTTGCTATGCATGGCAACTACGACCTCAACTTGGAACTATTATTTGTGGTCAAAACAATCTATTGTTTAAACGCAAAGGATCATGGTCGTCGGAGGGGGTCAAATCAACGCAAATTTACTGAAAATTGTTCGAAAACCCGATCAATCCACGAAGAGAATAGCCAGCAAACGCTCAGAATTTTTTTTAGTACATATTAACACGTATCATATCTGAAAACCAGGCCATTTTAGATTAAACTGTTTGCAAATTTTGTTGAATTTTCTATTGGATTTGGCGATTCTATCCCCCACATAAACAAGCAGTGACGTCATAGTGAAATAAGGCAATTAGACCCAGGTTCAATTCTAAGACAAGTCATATCTCTTGTGAGTAGATTTGGATGTTGGTTGTCTCCTGTGCTTCGAGGGTATTCCTCCAGTTTTCCTCCACTCCTAAATTCCAATTTGATCTGACATGCTCTGGTTCAGGAGACTAAAGGCAATCACTCTCTGCATGTTCCAAGTACAGAAAAAATTTTTTTTTCCATCTCAATCCAGCTTACCACTATAAATACCCATTGGACCAGTTGCTTGTTTTTTTGCATTACATGATTGTAACACTATGTAACTCTTTTGTTTTCTTCCTATAATATGACCAGGTTAGAAAATGCTGGGATTCCTGTTCATTTCCTCCCCAAAGTATGCGAGCCTGGTACAGTGTCTGGAGTACTACCCAGGTCATGTCTTGGCATCCCTGCTGGTGCACAAATCAGCATTGCTCTTGGGGACTTACAGTGTTTAGTCCTTGCGAGTCTTGAGCACAATACTGATGTAGGTATTGACTAAATGACTATAATGATGACAATAATACTAGTTATTATGTGATTTATTATAGTTACTATAAATGTGAATACATGTAAAGTTGCTTGTTGATTTTATCTCCTGTGCTTCGGGTTTTCCAGGTTCTCCCGTTTTCCTCCCTCCATAAAAATCAACTTCTAAATTCCAATTCAAATCCAGTGGAAGAAGAGCCACTTTGTGGAATCCACTGTTAAATCCCATTATTTATTATTTATTTATTATTCATTTATTCTAAGAGGCAGCGTAATCCTAAAGCTTAGGGAGGTTAGCATGCACAGTCGATTGGCAGTCTTCAGTGTTACACAAACTTACAAGCTGTAAGCTGTATTTCCGCAAAATTATTATTTTTTAATTTGCTGCCATCAATTTAAAATGCTCAGTCAGCACCTTCTAAATTTTTAACTGGTGGCAATGGATAACAAACTTCAATGGACAACTTGCAACTACCAAGTTTGCATAATGTTAAAAATTGCTGTAAAATGGAGTCTGAATAAATATAAATGGTAAAACTTTATATTAGATCAAGATGCCACTCCTGCACTGATTCAACAAGACAATTGATGGGTGCTTGAATTACTTACTGTCTCGTTATCTAATGGAGTGGGTCAGATAAAGCAATTCCGCTTTGTTTTCTAAACAGCTTGAATAGAGGAATAGAACATTTTCAAGTTACAATTACCACTTTTAAAAACATAGATTCATCAGGTATTAAAAACCCGACAAACACTATGTTTGACACAGGTATTCGGACTCAAGCAAAGGGGGATGTGGTGAGGAGGGGGGGGGGGGGGGGGGGAGTACGTATGTGAAAAATGATTGAAGAAAAATGATGAAAAAGATATAAATAAATAGCATAAAATAAATAAGTATTAAGGCAGTGGGTGATTGATTGGAACAGTTGAGCGTACGAGACGTATATGAGAGTATTATGGATATGTATCGTAGATAGTTAGCAATGATACAGTAAACGATAAAGTACATCGTACAATGTATATTGAGTTAAGAATAAAAGTGTTTCGAGTGAAGGCAACGTTATGCACTAGTCAATTGAAACCCCCGCCCCCCCCCCGACCCCCGTGGCTAGCGGGGCACTGAACGGGGACGTGACGCGTTTTTAATGTGCTTTTAAGAGCATGATTGCACCGGGGGTTCGGAGATTTAACGAATGGTTTTCTCAGCGGGGAATCGAGCGGGGATTTTAACTCACGTTTGAATTTGTAAGGGCCTGGAAACAAGAGGTTGGCCATTTTAAAAAATACCAAGGAGGCGTTGTGATTCCAAGCACAGGCAGCCCGTAGCCTAGTACAAAGCAGTATGTTCTGCACCGGCAAAACACATGCTCAAACAAACTTATGGCAGTTTCTACCTATACACTTTTACACTGAACTCCACTGATAAGAATCTTTCTTAAAATTGTAGCCTTAATAGGTTCTTATGTGCATGGAGGGGTCTTAAAGTGAGAATTTTAGCCTAACAGGTTCTTAAAACCCAGGTTCTTATACGCGGGTTTTGTTCCGAGTCGTTTCGGTCAGTTCGAATGTAGAATCAGATCATGATTAATCTATTAAAACTACTGCTTCGCAATATTTACAAGCATTGTTTATTTGAGGTTCAGAGCCCACGAAAATACATGTTGAGCATTGAATATTTAGTGCATGGAACACACAACAATTGGTCAGTGTAGCACAAGAATTATTTGGAGTTGGCGTGAAATGTGTTTCTTGTTGACTACTAAACCAAAATAACGGGGCCACAATAGCGGGGGTTTTAACAGTTAATGTGCCCCCGACTACCGGGGAAAATGTCTGATTTTAACACCACTCAAATGTTAAAATCCCCGGTATTTCGCGGGGGTCGGGGGTGGGGGTTTCAATTGACTAGTGCATTACGAAACATGAGCTCATGCGTCGCGGCGGTGTGGTAGGGAATATAATATAAAACTATGAAAGCTCTGGGATAGTCGTTCGATCTACCAAGTATTTATCGTCAGGGGTTAAGACACAAGGTAGAGGTCAGTATTCGACCTACACGTTTCAAAACTTCTAGCGCCAGAAGCTTAACCCTACGTGTAACGAGACGACTGGGACACACCACGTTGGCCTGTGTGTGTGTTATGTGTAGAAAGAATATACATAAGTAGCGTGTGTCAGAAATTAAACTAACGTAAGTGGTGAAAGGACGGGCGATATCAAATTGAGAAAGGTTTAGGACTTACTTGGAGTGGGCTGGAGTGGTTTGTGAAGCTTGCTTTATGGCTTACAAAGTAGTGTTTATACTGCCGTATTCGAAGAAGAATTGATCATATCTAGGAAGGGAAGGTATGCAGGGAATGCATGAAATGCAATATGAGAAGTACAGAAGATAGCGTGACTTAGTGTTGGGTGTCCTGTGTTTGTGTTTGGAAAGAAAGTACATAGGGGGGAAGGGAGGGGATTGTATGTAGTGTAAGAAAAGAGGATAAGAGATGAATGATGGTTAGTGCGTGTAACCGTTATCTACCGGGGAAGGAGGGGAGAGGGGGGGTGGTGGGGGTTGGATGAGGATTGTATGTAGTTGTATGGGAAAAGAGATGAGAAACGGTTAGTGGGTGTTCAGGGAGGGGAGGATAGGGGTGAAGAGGGATTGTGTGTAGTGTGGGAGAAGAGGGAGCAATGTTTAATGTGTGTTCAAGGAGGGAAAGGGGGGGGGGGTTGAAGGGGAAGTGTATGTAGTGTAGGACAAGAGAAAAGAGATGGTTAGCGTGTGACCATCATCTAACGGGGAGGGGAAAAGGGGGTTTGTATGTAGTGTGGGAGAAGGGGGATTTAGTATTGTTAAAGAGATGAGAGATGGTAAGTCGGAATGAATAGATACGAATGAGTATGAAGTACAAGAGGGATTATGAAAGCTGAATGAATAAAATGTGTAAACATGTGGGATGTATGGAAGGGAGATGAGAGGGTATCGAATG